TGCCCCACCACCGCCACGCCCGCCTTCAAAATTGGTGCGTACCCTCCCTATCACATTTGTTACATTGTAAAACAAATATATTATACCAGTTTTCATCCTCCACGTCAGTGAAATTATCAACATATATGCGAAATTTCATAAAGACCCCTTCAGAGTCTAAACGAGACTACAGACTCTGATAAACATCCATCCATCTTAACATTCGCATTTTTAGTATTAGTAAGAGTAAGATTTGAATGAATGTCGTTCAGTGGCAGTGTTGTTGCAGAGTTCGAGCTGAACATCGCCGTCATCTTCGAGGACGACCACGTGGTCACAGAGAACTTCCCCATACTGCTGGTGCGCGCCAGCTAGCCCGCCGCGAATTTCTATTACATCTTGTAAATACTTCATCATTTAATGTATAAATTATATATAATTGTTATATTGTAATTGTTTTACTATCCCCATTACCTACATACTGTTACATATTCATCTTAACTTTATAAACATGTTTCGAGATAAATAGCAAAGTGGACGCAAAAATAAAACAAATTTTACAATATTCAAATACTTTATTCTGAATACTAAAGAAATCTATTTTTAAACGTGTTTGTAGTATCAATTGCACTCAACTCTACGCTGATCTGAGTGGGCTCTTACATATTGCTCTATCATCTTAATACAAACAGTAAAATCACTGATATAAGAATAAATAACTAAATTTTAAAATGAGAATGTTTTCCCAAAAAATAGAATGTAATAAAAATACATTCGAATTTTCAAGCTCAATAATGCTACAAAATATTTGTGACAAGTCAACAACGTCATTTAAAAAAAAATCGGTTTAAATATATACACACTTACAAGGAAATACATTTAGTCGTTTATACTCATACCATCATGTTTAATACAAATGATATAATTGAATTTTAATTCCTGAATGTACCAGTGAGGTATGAGTTTGTTGGCTGCATCTCGCTAACTTAGTTTTACTGCGAACTCCCAAGCCCTCGGGTGTCATGTCGCCGGATTGTTACATTCACAAATATCAACGAATCGTTTATTTCAATTCTAATCGGTAGCGGAGTGATGCCGATTATGCAAATTCAAACACATTTTTACTAAAATTAAAAGAAAATAAAATCATTTCCTTAAAATTGAATTCCTCTTAATTGTACATTTTTTTCTATTTATATTTGTCGTACACATGCAATGTGATGAATATTTACAACGAGTGTGTGGGGGGGGGG